ATATGGTGGCATAGAACCAAAATCAGCACATATCGACAGTCCCTGAACAAAGTTCAGAGGCTGGCGTGTCTGGGAATAACTGGAGCAATGTCAACGACCCCGACGGCCGCTATGGACACACCTCGGGGGGCTGGAGCCGTTGCATTTATCCATTGAAGCTGAGGCCCTAAGAAGCGCTTACCGTATGGGTGACGATGTCCTCAGGAAAGCGACGGATTTAGGACACAGTGCGATCTTCAGAAAGTTGAAGATAGTCGAACCCATGGGATCAAAAGCTGATCGAATCAAAACTCTAAGCATCTCGGTACCTTTCAGAACATATGTTCTAAACGAGGGGCGAGATGGTGGAGAGACTCCATCAGCCATCACAGGGGACTCCGTATGGTACACGGAAGGCATAAAAACAGCTTAGCTGGAGTCCCACACAACCCAGCGCCACAGACCACCAGAGAGCTCTGGGAGTGCATAAAAGCGCATTTCCCAAACGTCACCGAAAAAAAAACATTTATTCAATATAAATCCATTTTAGCTTATTTGAAAAGTTGATAAAATTCGCATTCCATCAAGGATTACAGTTAACGCTTTAGTTGGAATTAAAAAATCCACACAATTTCTACGGTTTATTGCAACAGTCCACTAATAAACTACAAAGGGGCCGTTTTGTTAAGGGTTGAATCGCCCTTCACGCGCCTTCACTTGGAGCAGCTGCTGAAAGTTGAGGAGCTGATGGAGTAGCTGAGGAGGAGAGGTTACAACGAAGTAACTGGCAGTTGTTTCGTTGCTGCCACTGATCTGGGCCTCCACTGTTTCTTCTACAGCCCGTTGCTGTGAAAGCCCACTCTGGATACCATCCAGGTTGTTCAAATCGTTGCTGCCCGACGCAAACTGAGGATCCAGGAAGCTCGAGCGTTCTAAGCTTTTTTTTGACTCTTCTGGATCCATAATAACAATTCCTGCAGAGTATGTGTTGCTAACAGCCATAGAAGCAGGAGATTGAGGACTCAGAATGCTCTCTGCATCCGCAACAGCTTCGGTCTCAACAGATACGCTCTGATTGGCGGGTTTGGCATCAAAGCTCTTATCCAAACAGCCCAAGCAGTGTGAGCAGCAGCACGTGCCATCATCTGCAAACTTCTGGCACTGCCCACAAGTGCATTTTTGAGTCGCTGAGTCTCTCATAGTGCTGGTTGCAGCGCTGACGCGATCGCACTTTACCACCTCGATATTGCCTGATATGCACATGGTCAGTTTTTCACTGTCCGGCTCAGCTACGCAGCTGCAGGACCTTTGGGCGGGCTTGGATAACTTCAGGCGGCTCTTCAGCGACTTGACCGACAACGCTGAAGCTGAGGCCAACTTGGAAAGGCTGCTTTTGTGTTTGAACTTTTGGCAACAGGCTAGAAAAGAGCGCGGTTGCTCAGCTCCGGTTTCTTCTGGACAGCTGCAGAGCAGCTGCGCTGATTGGCCAGTGCAGGTGGAGATTTTGCAACCGCAGCTATGGCATTGGTCCTTGTCTGCCAATTAAAATCACTAGATATTTGAGGGTGGAATTGTGCAAATTAACCAAGCGTTTTTTGTTATATTTCGGTTGTTTTTAAGCCAAAAGCTTTGAAGTTTTGCAATTGCATGCGCTTCTAATCACAAAATACACTGTATTTGTGCAAACTCTTTGGCTCAGGATGGTTGTGAAGTAATCGCCGACATTCAGCAGATAAATCAGTGTGGATAACAAGTGGGCACGGTAAATGACGTGTGTCGCAGCTCTACTCAAATTGTCAATCATTAGTGGCGTCACTTGCCAAAAAATTGACAGGCTGCGTGTTTTGCGCTGCAGAAAATTGGAAGAATCGAAGGTTTTTCGCGATTTAAATCCCGTATTTGTGCAGATTCCGATAAATAAACCATTCATGGACATTTTTTTTGCAAAAATTCTTATTGTTGTAGTGATTTTAGAGCCGAAAATTCGTTTTGAACACCGGGGCAATATCTGACGCTTATTGTGACATCGCGTCTTAAAAAAAATTCCGCATATCGCAGTTTTCTCGTGATTTAAAGTCCAAAGCTGGACATTTTTCGTGAAACCAACCATTCCTGAACAATTTTGTGTTAAATTTTCTAAGCGATTTTCTGACCAAAACCCGTGTTGAAAACGTGACAACTGACGTTTAACCAGATATGACCAACTTGAGGCAGACAAAACCAGACAGTCAGAGTAAGTGTGATTTTTTTCTTACAATACGTCTAACTATACCGGGTGTTTCGTTAAAACCATGAGCTACTCTCGATCGCTAGAATGATTTTATTGCTAAAAATTCGCGATATCTGACGTTTGCTGTGATATCGAGCAATTCGCCTTGAAGAAACCCGACAAAATCGTAGCTCTTTAGCGCTTTAAGGACCAAAACAGATCATTTCCCGATCAATCAATCATTCCTGAACAGTGTTGTCCTAATTTTTCGTTCGCAATGGCGCTTTTAAAGAGAAAAAGAAGGTGTTTGAAACTCGGCTGGTTTTTGACATGAAGTGCTTACTAAAAACAACGGAAAAAAACACGCTTCTTGAAGTTGCACAAAACTGCATGTCGCTTTCATCTCTTACCTGTCGAAGACAGGCTAAACGCCGCCCTTTGATTGTTGTACTTCCTCGACATGTCCTTCTCAGGTGAGCAAAACAGCTCTTTAGTTTTGCTCAGAATCTTCTGCATCATGGACGGTTTTTTGGAAACTCTGGGATTGCAGGCGCACACTTGATGGTAGACAAAGTACTCGATGGGATTGATGAAATTGTTCTGCGGCAATTGCGCGATTTCCGTCTTGAGGCTCTCGTACTGCTCCAGGGTCTCTTTGAGTCGAACTAGCGACTGGCGCAAAGAATCCTCCTGGTCGCTGTCGCATGTCCTGGTTGACTCGCACGATTGGTCGCTGTTGAACGTCACCACGAAGTTCTCAATTTCGTCGCAGCTCTGCTCGCAGTTGAAGCAACGCTTGAGGATCTGTTTCTTCTGGAAACAATCCAGCAGAGTGTTGGAGGTTTGGCACTTCTTGCAGTCTTTCAGCTGTTTGGAAGTCTGCAAGGAGATGCTCTTTAAGATGTCCGAGTTGGCCATCACCAAACAGTATTGGGACTGTTTGGCTTTCAAGTCGTGGTAGCTTTTGCGTAGGGATTTCGCCGGCTTGCGGTAGATCTCCAGCAGACCTGCACAAAGAACTAGTGATTGTTCGCCTGCAAACACCCTTCAGGGCCATACTTTTGTTTTCGGTTCCCACCCCGACATGGACTGCCGCGTTGATTATCAACTGCTCCCGCGCCATCTGCTTCTTCACCATCTCAAACAGCATTTTGGAGAAATAGCTCAAGATAATCTTCGACTGGTGGTCTTCACTTTTACTGCCCTTGGGGGCCTCCAGGCTGGCAGTAAGAGACAATTGTTGGCTCTGGCAATTGGGCTTGCTTTGGATGTTGAGCGATATCTCCGACCGCGACTTGGACAGGTAGAATTCTTTCTTTTTTCTCTTGCCCCTTTTAAGCGTGCCTCCAGTCGAGCACTTGGAGGATAATCTCGAGTTCCCTAGATCCTCAATTGAGTGAATGGGCGAACTGGTGCCAGTGGTTTGCTGTGGGGTTTTCCTTAGGACCAACTCTGGAAAACATCAGTTGGTTTAAGTGAAAGTAAGTTATGTTTGAGCAAAAACTTGCTGTCTTCCAAGCCTGGTGTTCTGGGCAGTGAGCTCGGGCTGGCCAGGAAGATGTTGGGCTCAACTGAAGCCGGTGCTTCTTGAAGCTCTAAGCTTGCCAGGGCCTTTGGCCTGCGATAGACTGGAATCCTGCTGAGGCGCGACTTGCGCTCTGCAACAAGCCCCGTTGGGCTGATGGGTCGGTCTTCGTAGCTGCGCCTCATCCACTTGGAGAAATTCCCACTTGGCTGGGCCTGCCCTTTTTCCACCCCAAAGTACTGGATGAAGTACTGGCAGGGTAGAGGAGGATCGCTGGACAGGTGGATATAAAAGGCCAGCTTGAGTTCGACTAGTTTCCTTTGGCAAATCTCCCGGAGCTCGTCCTGGGGCAAGTCGGGTTCGTAGAAGAAATAGAGCACAGTATGTATGGGGTTGAGCACAAAGCGCTGGTTGGCCGTAAAGTCTTTCTTCAGATCCGTGGAGTTTTTCACCTTCTGAAGGCTCATTTGCAGTGACTCGTTGATGACGCTGAAGTCGTCTTCGTCCAAGGGCAGCGAACGCAAACTGGCCGCATAGGGCAGACATTTCTTCATTTTCTCGTTCAAGATGGCTTTCCTGCAGCATTTGGCCGGGCGGCAGGCCCTCAGCAGATTATCAGTACCGAAGTCCTGCAGCTGCACCACGATTTTGTTGTTTCTGTTCCTCATCCCATGGGAGCGGATCTTGGAAGCCGCGGTGGTTACGTCGAAGTCCAAGGAGGAACAAATCTTCGTTCTGCCCAGAGGTATGTAGCGATCAGGCACAAAGTAGGCGACGCGCTGCCTGGCAGGCTGGGCGTTTGTTTTGGAAGCAGGCGCCTTTTGGGAGGAGTTGACGGGTTCAGAGGCGCCTTCGCTGTCACTGAAAATATCTCCTAGACTCAGCTTCTCCCCCACCAGCTCCTTGGGGGTTACAGTGAGGGAAATGACCAGCTCTTGCCCAGTTTCCGTTTCGAAGCACAGATTGGTGGTTTCGCACATTTTTATCCTGGAGCAGCTGAGCTGGTTCTGCACATAGCTGCGCAGCGTGGACCTTCTGGAGGATTTTCCTCCCTCTTTCTCTTCCTTCTCCGCCTCCTCCTCCTCCTCTTCACTGCACACCACACTGCCCTTGGAGTCTTTGTTGTGCAACACAATCGGCTCTGAATTATCATTAACACTGGAGTCGCTCAAGATGGCCTCTTCGGACTTGATTGCATCAGCTACCGGAGGACTTTCGGTTATCAGTGGAGTTTCAGTGGAAACTGGCAAAAAATTGGCTGTCGGTGATTTGGTGGTTGTTACAGCTCCTTCAGTGTTGGCCTTGCAATCGGGACATTGACGAATCACTATCTGCACATCGCCTTCTTCTTTGTTGCATCCCTTGATGCAGATGATCACTTGGTCTTCGTCGCATTCCTAAAGAAATTTGTTTGTTTTCTGTTTACAAACATCTCCTTTAACTCACCGGAATGGTGGCGCCTTCATCCAGGCCAAAACAGTCCTTGCAGCAACAGCCGTCAGGACCTCGAGCTCGAGGTGCTGGGGAGAATTTCGCAGCCTCTTCTTGGCTGGGGACGTAAAAGTGTCCCTTTTCTTGACTGGGGACGAAGAAGCGCTGAGACGCTTCTGAAGCATTGGAGACTATGGTGGAAGCGTCGACTCTAGGGGTGGCCAGGTAGTCGCTCACTCCCTTCAGGTCGTAGATACATTTTACCAATATCTTCCGCGCCCCATACACGTCGGTCACTCCAGTTATTTCCTCATCGTCCATGAAGATTTCTGATTTGGATTTTTTCACTGACGAGTACTGATGAGTGGCACTTTGCATGAGGATCTGCGATCTGGATTCAGCCAGAGGCACTATTTGGGTCATAGAAGGCATCACCAGGAAGTTCTTCTTAAAAAACCCCAGCGAAGATGAGTCATTGCTGTCGGCTTGAAGTTTCGGGTTGAGCTTGAAGACTATTTTGTTGGGGTTGCAAGAGCTGGCGCTTGAGAGGGATTCGGTTTGGACAAAGGAGTGGATGCCAATCGAGCGGTAGAAGCCGTCCAGGTCGGCTTTGAGGTTTTCCAGAATATTATGCAGCTCCAAAATGCCCAGCAGGAGCGAGGTGTCCACGTAGACCTGCCGGTCGCAATTTGCCCGCTCCCGATACTTGTCCATGTCAAAATTGACCATCTGGATATCCATCTGGAAGCCGATGTTTTCCAGGGCCTTTGTCACGTCCCGCACAATGTCCATCACCTGTTCAATGTCGTCGCATTCAGATAGTTTGATGAAGTGGACGGGACTTTTGGGGGCGTCCATCAACAAATCGATAATGGGGCTCATTTTCATCGTGGCCAGTACGAGCATTTCGTCCAGCTCCATGTTGTAGCCGGGTGGCTTCATGTGCTTCAGTTTCCGCTTGATTTGAGATGGGGACGCGTTCAGTCCACTGATGGTTTTTCTGAATCTCATCTTTACAAGGAATTTTCTGCTGATTTGGAAATGATTGCCGCAGTCAATGTCTTGTCACCCTCATAACCCTGAAATACTACACACTTACTAGTCCTACTGTTGCTTCATTTTCCCATCTTCGAAAAAAAAGCAGCTTGAAGCTGCTAAACTCAAATTGGATGTTCTTAAGCAACTACGTTCTCGCTCTTAAAAATTAGCATCTTCCAAACTAATGCAAGTAGCAAATTTAAGTCTACACCACCTTTAATGGAGAATCTGAGGAATTCAACCGCTCTTAAGCAGCGCTGGGTCTAAGGGGGGCTACTGGGGCTATAGCCCCGGCCTCACGATGTCAGGGGCCTCCTTAAGAGCTAGTATAAAACCACATAAAAAATGGGAAGTTTAATTGCACTAGGGACTCTTTTTTCTTTTTAGAAAAGGGACTCTGGCGGGATCGTAGCCCCTGGCCCTACCACAGGACGATTTTCTTCTAATTATCTTCAATGCTGCGCTTCTGTTGGCTTCACGCAGGATATATTCAAAGTAGATCTGAAGAGACGGAAAAATGTTTGAAAATGTGCAATTTTTCTTTAAAGTCTTCAGGAAGCTTCGTTTATTTGTGCCTTAACAAGCTGAAACTGAGTCCAAGTGTTCTGAAATTTTGATTTTTTAGAATTCTTCGCTCCCCTCAGTTTTTCATTTTCCAATCGCTTCATATAAATTTTTATCTTCTTCGTATTTCAGTCATAGTTAAACATACACGATTTTCTTCTAATTATATTCAATGCTGCGCTCCCTTTGGCTTCACGCACGAAGTATTGAAAGATAAGCTTAAGAGACGGAAAAATGTTTGAAAATGTGCAATTTTTCTTTAAAGTCTTCAGGAAGCTTAATTTGCTTGTGGCTCAAGAAGTTGAAACTGAGTCTACATCTTCTGAAATTTTGATTTTTTATCGGCAGCAATAGTGAATTATTCGCTCTGTTCAGTTGCTTTCAATTGAACATTCAAACTTCGGAGCATTTTTCATCTTCCAATCGCTTCATACAAATTTTCATCTTCTTCGTATCTCAGTCATAGTTAAACCTCCACGATTTTCGTCTAGTTATCTTTAATGCTGCGCTTCCCTTGGCTTCACGCACGAAATATTCAAAGTGGAGGCTTCCGACAAGGAAAAATGTTTGAAAATGTGAAACTTTTCTTTAAAGTCTTCAGGAAGCTTCGTTTGTTGGTGACTCAACAAGCTGAAACTGAGTCAAAATCTTCTGAAATTTTCATTTTTCATAGGCTGCAATAGTGAATTATTCGCTCTGCTACTGAGCAGAGAAGCAACTGTGCTTTCAATTGAACATTCAAACTTAGAGGTTTTTCATCTTCCAATCGCTTCATACAAGTTTTTATCTTCTTTGTATCTCAGTCATAGTTAAACCTACACGATTTTCTTTTAATTATCTTCAATGCTGCGCTTCCCTTGGCTTTAGGCACGGAAAAATGTTTCATAATGAGCAATTTTTCTTTAAAGTATTCAGGAAGCTTAGTTTATTTGTGCTCCAACAAGCTGAAACTGAGTCAAAATCTTCTGATATTTTGATTTTGTGTTGGCTGCAATAGTGAATTCTTCGCTCCGATCAGTTGCTTTCAACTAAACATTCAAACTTGGGATTGGAAATTGTTTGAAGCGATTGGAAGATTTTCATCTTCCAATCGCTTCAAACAATTTTTTTTTAAATATTTTTCGTATCTCAGTCATAGTTAACTACATGATTTTCTTCTAATTATCTTCAATGCTGCGCTTCCCTTGGCTGCACGCACGAAGTATTCAAAATGGAGCTTCAGACACGGAAAAGTGTTTCAAAATGAGCAACTTTTCTTTAAAGTTTTCAAGCTTAGTTTATTTGTGCTCTAACAAGCTGAAACTGAGTCTAAATCTTCTGATATTTTGATTTTTTGTAGGCTGCAATGGTGAATTCAAACTTGGCAAGTTTTTCATCTCTTTTCTAAATTTCTAAAGTTTTACTTAACATCATTGACACTATTGAGGTATTTTCTGTGAAAATTTATCAAATAAATTCTATTGGAACACTCCCCACCTTAAACGCTTTGTAAAGACTTTTTTTAAAACTTTTGCAGCTTCGAATTCTGGACAAAACCCTAATAATTTTTTCTGGGTTTCTTCCAAAAAATATTTTCCCCAACAGAACAAGCGAAACTTTATAATTAATTAGTTGTAAAATTCGCCAACTTCGTCGTTGTGAATAATTTAAGTTATTTTTAATTCCGGTTTCTTCACTTTTAGGTCAATATTTCTAAACAAAACTCTTTTTAAACTGTGCACACTGAGAGTCTTCGAATCAAAAAAATTAAAACATCGATTTTACAAAAAAACTGGGCGTATTTATACTTTGGTCTTCTGTTCCTTCATTTGGTGTCTTTTTCGAATACTCGTTTTACTTTTTAATTTGGGACAAAATCCAAACAAAGTTCCTTTGTTATTTTTTTCTCGAAAAAATTAGTTTTCCGAAAAAACGATCAGAAAAAGCAAAGGCATATGACTATTTGGCAAACGCATTGAATACCTCACAGCTTTGAAGATTTTTAAAGTTTCTTCAAAATTTCCGGTTTTTTCGTTTTAGACCAAAAACCAGAAAAACCGCATTTTTAAGCAATCGTTTCTACAGATAAGGTAACTCAGTGAGCCTTTAAATGTTGGAACAGTGCTGCGCAAATGGCTTGGTACTCAGTAACTCAGTTCCGTTGCTTGAAAAACGATACTCCGCATGTTAAAATTCCGGTCTAAGGTTTCGTACAGCTTTAATCCGCTTTGATAAATGAGTTAAGACTCATTAACCGATGAGATATAACTCATTAACTCAGAGAGCGGCAACAACTCAAAAGCGCAACTCAGCACAGTGTAACCGAATTTCTGGCCCACCTAGGGGAGGATTCCTAGATCTTTAAGTGGCGGCGGATGGATGAAAAACGGCGATAAAATAGTCCACAATTTACCAAACAATCACTAATTGTTCCCAAATAATCGCGAAATACCAAATCGGTTAGTCAAATGGGACTTACCCTTAAATTCGGGAACCACCAAATAAAGTTTTTCTATAGCCAATCGTGGGGTGGCTAGACCAGAAAAATATCCGCACACTACACTGTCTTTAAAAGTTGGAATCAGCCGGGTTCTGTCCACTCAAAAGTACTCGGAAGCGCGCTTCAGAAACACAACCTGATCCTTCAGAATGTAATCTGGGAAAAAACGGGACTGAGCACAAACATCCCCCTTTAGGGGATATTTTGTGGGACTGACTGCTTCTCTCGGCTCTGTGCAGGCTTATTTATCCTAGCAAAAGGGGGTTCCCTTTATTATAGGGTTTCTCTATCCGATACGCGCGCTCCCACAGTGCACTCAATTTTTTTCCCTCAATAGAATGTGGTTCCCCTGTAACTGGTGTTTCGCTCCACGACAATCCCTAAATGAATGTCTGCTAAAGTTACTGAGATACAGGGTGTTTTACCTTTTAAACCCCCAAAATATTCACAGTTTTGCTTCTATTTTCTTGGAGGTTAGGTCCTTCTGGCCAAATTTGTGATGCTCTATCGAAAAGCTCCTAACGAATATTCAGAGAGTTTTTTTCGCAAATTCCGTGTATGCTGTTTTGTGGTTCAATGCCTTTTTGATTGCCCCATTTTAAAAGGACGATTAAAATTATTATTTCTAACTTTATTAAATATTGTTAAAAACATACAATAAATACATTGTCTGGAGGTGTATGTGCTTATAACTAATGCATCCTTAAACGTTATATTCCCTAGTAATGTTGCTGATTAAATGGCGTCAAGTTTCGCAACGGAAACAAATGCAAATGATCTGACCCTTCGGGATTTAGCCAAGGGCGAAGCCCTAAAGCGACCAACTGATGGGCTGATTGGTTTCCGCTTACATAGATAGAAATGTTGTAATAAAAACGCTATAGATATAGAGACGGCACGATAACATTAAAGCTTTAGCACGTTTAGATACTCTCTAATGTAAGGGCGTCGTACGATGCATAAAAATACTCTCCCTACACAACTAAATCCTACCGATTAACTAATTAATATTGCATGAAAGTAAACGGTTTTTTATCACTTTCCTAACGCAACGAAATAAGTACAAAATTACAAGGAGGTGGCGGATATATCCAGTCCTACTGTCCATCCAAGCGTTCAGAGGCTGGGATGGACTGTGTGATCCAATGGTCTACTACTTAATGGAATGTATTTACATCGATTTATTAATTATTTTGAATTGAGATTATTTAATAGAATTGCGTAATAGAAAGGGGGATGGGAGGCAGCCGGAGACCTACTGATTTATCGGACATAGGCCTAGATTTGTCTGGATCTGATTAGGCCTGGCGTATTGTTGATTGATTGGCTTCGTGTTAGATCTAGTAAGTCAGTCGATAGATTCTTGCAAGCGATGTTCCGGCTTATAGTTGAAAGTAACTGTTTTTTTCTTGTTTAATATGGACGCAGCTGAAGATTTTTTCTAGAGCCCCACTAGGGCTTAATATTCAGTAGGATGGTCTGCACTGCCCTCCACCTCTTGGTCGTCGTCCTCATCGTCGCTTCCACCGTCCAGACTGTTGGAAAGTCGTGATTCCGGCTTCTTGGCAGGCGGTGCGCTCGTCGTCATTATTGTGTCTGGAAAAGTCGAGATTTTGCAACCTTTCCTGCAGGAAACTGCTTTTGGATACTGACTGCAATTCGGCTTGGAATGCGTGCGAGTGTTGGCAAACTCCACTCCGTGTTTATCCACGCACCAACACATCCCAATCGCTTCATGGCACTGAATCGGCTTGTAGAAACCCAGGTTATCGCATTCGGGAACGTACACATCTGGGAAAAATCAGAACGTAAATAGAAATTTAAGTTTTCAATGTTGACTAGGCCTGGGTAACTCAGTGAATTTTTAGGAGTTGGCGCAGTGCTATGCATATGGTTTGGTGCGCCAACCCAACGCACCGGCGCCGTAACTCAGTTCCTTTGCTGAGAAAATGTTGAAAATGTTTTTTAACTTGTTTCTAGATTTATTTGAATTCACGCATGAAGAAAGCAGACTGCATTCTAGCGTGAAGATCGGGTTCTATTTTGAGGGTACTTGTTTTGCTCATACGCGTAGTTCTTGCTACTTGCCTACTGCTAATTTCTCGATTATCAAGCACTTGAGTTAAAACTTCTTCTTCTTGATCGACGGAAATAGCACGCCTTTGGCCCGCTATGTCCCGCTTAGGACAAAAACTACCAGCCGTTGTCCAAGCCGTTGAAGTAGATTGTGCAATAGTTTTTGATTTGGTTGCGTCTGTCAGGATATAACTCTAAAAAAAATATCGGCGATGCGCTCTACTTCCAACATAATTTTCTTGCGGATAAAAAGTCCATTTAATGAACATGTGGCAATTTTACTATTATTCATTTATCATAACTCTCTGTAGTATGTTGCAGGTCTATTTCTATTTCCAGCAGTAATGTTTGGACAGTGTTTTTCGATAAGCGAATTAGCGTAAAAAAACTCAAGGTGTCCATGATTTAAAAATAATTGACTGGCGGATTAAATATTCGGGGTCTTCTAACAACCTGAATGTCATTATCCTCATCAGATGGTGGTAAAACATCGCCATAAAACAAATCCAACCTGTGTTTACTTAAAATTGTTTGAGGTTATAATACTACACTAATCGTGATTATCGTCAATAACCAGCCATTTTCGGCGATTAAGTTAACCACTGATTAAGTGTCCATAATCGTGGTTAAAATTATGGTGGAACGCAAAGTGTTGATTAAATAGTTTTAATCAATGATTAACATTTTAATCGGAAATGGTGGAACCGGGCCGAAGACTTCACATGCAAGACCAAGACGAAGATTGCCGTTGATTTGCAAGACCACGACCAAGACTATGTATGCAAGAACAAGACCAAGACCAATAGAAGGTCTTAGTCTTGCTTTGCTCATCACTAGGTGTTATCTCTATTTTGGGGATTTCTGCGTTTAATTTGCAACACGACAAATTTCACAGAAACAGAGAAAAATAAAAAAAATCTACGTTAATGAAAAAATGTTTAATTAATGACATGAATTTACGGTTTCTGAAATTTGAAAAAAAAAGAGAAAAAAGGCAAAAAAATGTATCACTTGAGCAGGTCTTTGCGCGGTAGTGTGCAAAGCCCGAAGGGTGGATGCGGTGAAACGCCACTGGCTTTCGCAGCAAAGCTAGAACGCTCGGCGGTGGTATGCTGCCAAAATACCCACTTAACACCCGATTGATATTATTTACGCTTAGAAAAAAAATAATATAAAACACGTGGTTTGACGAGCACAAGTTACCGACTGCTAACCGTTTGATTTGCTGAAATACTCGAAATACCTACTTAGATAAGGTAGTACCATATCGCGCATTTCTTCATTCGAAAATAAGTGATTTCAGGGCATTTGTAATAAAATCAATGTAAGAGTAAAACTTAAATAATTTTTTTAGCACTTAACTAACACCAAACTGACAGTAAGATAATTGTTGTCCTAGGCTCACTTCATAAATGTCAATCTACGACAAAAGGGATCTAATTTGAGCTGGTTCAAAACATCACTAGATTTTTCATTGTGAAATATCTCGAAAACGGTGACAGATAGCGACTTCAACCAAGTATACATCTTTTGCTGCAAACCTATTGGAGAACCCCATATTGCTAACAAAAATGCGATATGGTAAAACCCAAAGAAGTTCTGATGTTTTAAATGGCTCCAGACTATTGCAGCTAGCGCCCTCTAGGAACTACAAAGTGGATAATAGGAAATGTGGATTTGCCGATCTAAAAAACCCCCAATCACAAATTCTTGTAGTACTAGTAACACTGGTTAAAAATCCATTACGAAAAAACGAAATTTTTATTTGCCCTTTGACCTTGGTATCTCGGAATCTAGTGACTTTCGGATAAGGCCAATTTGCCTGAAACGAAATATTTTTGACCAAACATTATGCCAGTGAATTTTTCGACATTAGTTGAGGACCACCATGTAATCATTTATTTGGAAAACCCTTGGAAACTGCAGTTTCTTCACTTTTAGGTCAATATTTCTAAACAACCCTATCTCTAAACAGAAAAACCGCGTTTTTCCTAACGTTTTACTGTAAAATACTGGCAAAATGAATTTTTGTGCAAAAAAATTAAGAGATTGATTTTACAAGAAAACTCGTCGACTTTCTTTGGACTCAGGTCTGTTGCTGGAAAAACTTTGATTTATTTTTTAGTTGTTTGAACACAGTAGTAAAACGTTACTCACAAAAACGGTGAATGACCCTTTTTGAGATGTGAAAATTCCAGTCTCGGGTCTCGTAAGCTTCTTTAATAAATCACGTATAACTCATGAACAGATGAGTTATAACTCGTTAACTCCGAGACCGGCAACAACTCAATAGCGCAACTCAACACAGTGTTACCCATGCCTAATATTGACATCGAAAATCTACGGCCGATGCATACGTACCGAATGCATCCGAAATGATTATGCGCCGAAGAGCCGCACAGGACCTATCAGCTTTAGCAAAGCACTTGCACCATTCGATTGAGGTGATCACCAAGTCCTTGTCCAGATCGCACTGTTGCAAGTAGGATTTCAAGCAACCTTCGCCCTTGTCGTGCTCCAGATCGTAGAGCTCTTGCACAGATAGCTTGGAGTCGGCGTTTTCATCCAAGTGCTGGAACATCCATCTCACCTCGCTCCTGCAGCTCGGTGTGAAACGAACTGGAATAGTCCACAGCCTCAGTAACAACTCTAGAAAGCCCATGGAATTTTACCCCTGGATTTGCTTCTGGGTCGTCGTCTTTTGGACGAATCGGCCATCACAACTGAGAACCAATCCAGAAGACGGTTGCCCATTGCTTGCAACGCAGTGGCGGGACATTGTTTGGGACTGGATGTGGCTGGATCCAGGCCGTTGATCGCGTTACTGAAGGCCTTCTCATCGGTCACCTCGTTGTAGCCTCTCAGTTTGTCTTTGTCCTCTCCATAGAGCATGTTGTCCTGAAAGCAGCAGGAATCAAGCAAACAGCACAAGGCAACCGGCCAAACGACTGTTACCTTGTTGAACTGCGTGTACTTGATGTACTTGTAGTGTTTGTTGTCGTACTTGATGTCCTGTGGAACAAATGAGTAAACCACGTCCTTCTTGGACGGTTTCTCTGGGTTAGAGCTGCTGATCGAGCCGCCTGTCCCAGACTTATCCAGAGTGGCCCGATATTTGCTGATAAAGTTGTTCAGGCGCTCAGACTGCCTCTGCTTTTTCCTCAGCTTGATCTCCGGTTCTGCTGAAATGTTTTCACATCAAACCATTTCCGTTCGATAATGGGTAGGGTTTCAAGCTGGTACCTTTGCACGGACAGAACCCTTTGCAGGACACTTTAACGGTGCTGTGGTGGATGCAATTGTGGTAGTCCATACGGCACAGGGAGCTGTAGGTGCGATTGTCCGAACCGCATAGGAAAATTGGCTTCACCACTGGGCATGGACGGCATCTATGGAAGACCTTTAGAAGAACCACACTAAATGAAAGCGCAACTGCTTACTCGTTGGAATCGCTCGCGTCGTCATTGGCTTCATCATCTGCATCATCTTCGCTGTCGTAAAACACGTCTTCTTCGTCATCGTTCTTCGAAGTTGGGTCTTCAGGTTTGGCGCCAGCCTTTGGCACCACTACATCCCTAGAAGCGCAGATGGCTTTTCCAATCTTTGTGTTCGAAGAAGGTTTCGTAACTCACCCATTCTTCTTCAGTTCTTTGCGCGACACGCACACGGCAGTAAAGGAGTCCTCCAGCAGGCAAATCTCCTTCTTCTTGCAGTTCAATGGACGGCATAAATCACCTAGAAAGCCACAAATATATGTTAACCCATCTGATCCAAAACAGGGGGCTAAAGCTTGCCGGATTCTTCGGGGGCTTTGCCCAACTTTGGCCTAAGAGCGAGATTCTTTTGTTTCAGGTAAGCAAATTTGGATTGTTTGGGGGCGATTTGCCTCCCTACTAAGACCAGGAAATTAGTATTCAGACCAGGAAAAGAAAACCGCGTCCTAAGAGGGTGCTTATCGGGGCTAATTCGCCGTTTTACTCTAGCTAATTAATAACACCAAAAGTCGGGCCTCTCTGGATAAAGGCAATAGGAAACGTTATCGGGTTAATCTGGTCGCTCTCTAATGCGTAATCGATACAAGCAGCGCCAGCCAGCAGCTCTCTATTCTCTATTTTTCCACGTTCAATATGGATTTTCCATTCGGTTTTTCCTTCTCCGATCTCAAATGCCAAAACTCCAGCCAGTATTTCAATTACTCGACTAGGAAAATACGTTGATTAAATCGAACCGCTTTGGATTCTTCTGATGTTTTTTTGCCAGCTCTTTTTTTTTCATTAAATTAACTTCTTAATGGAGCTTTGACCGCACTGTGAGCATGACTTGTGATTTAGCGTCCATTTCAGCGTAATTCTTGAGATGAGCTGCCGAAAAGCTTCAAGTGGCTAATTGGATTATTCCAGTAGTTTTTGATATGCGGTTTAGTTAAAAAATCTTGGTTTTTTGCTTCTGCCTTTTTAGAGGTTAGAAACATTGAATTAACTAATTTAATTTATGCGGAATAGACGGTTCTTGAGACGCTGCATCGAAAAGATTCACTGACTATGTCGTTAACATGAACCGTTTTGGAGATATGAATGAAAAAGCACACGAATTCGCATGTACGTCATATTTTGGCTTCCAGCTCTTTAGAGGTTAAGAATTTTAAATAACGTTTATATGACAAAGACGTATTTTGAGATGCTCCATCGAAAATATCTTAATGATTATTTGGGTAGTATGAAGCGTTTTTGAGATATTAATGCAAAAAGACATAAATTCGCATATACATTATATTTTTGCTTCCAGCTCTTTCGGGGTAATAAATTTCTAGTAAAATCTAAAATATTCAAATGTACTTCTCGAAAAGGGCTATCGAAGAGCTCCTGGTAGGCCTGGGAAACTCAGTGAATTTTTAGGAGTTGGCGTAGTGCTACGCAAATGGTTTGGTGCTCCAACCCAAGGCACCGGCGCAGTAACTCAGTTCCGTTGCTGGGAAAATGTTGATGACTTTTTTTACTTGTTTTAATTTTAATTATTTTAAGTTTTACTTGTTTTAATTTTATTCATTTTAGGGGTCATTTATTAATAATATTTTAAAAATTGTTTCAGAATTTTCCCATTTTAGCCAAGTTACTCTTTCTTCTAAACCCTTAATTTTCTAAAGTTTCACTTAAAAATGCTGCCAGTCTTAAGGTATTTTCCGCGAGAAATTATAAAATAAATTTCTAATCCTTGGTCGCTTTTGTAAAACGTTTTTAAATCCCTTTCCAGCTTTGAATTTGGAACAAAAATCAAACAATTTTCCATCAAAAAACAAACAGAATAAGCGAAAATTTACAACAGATTATTAGGAAATCTCGTAACCTCCATAACTCTGAAGACTGTAAAGTTTGTTAAAAAATGTGGGTTTTTAGTTTTGACTGATTTTTTTTCCTTTACTTTCTGCTCAAAAACGCTCTATTTTGTAGAGTTTCACTTAAAAGTACTGACGATCTGGAGGTGTTTTACGCGAAAACTTTTTCAGCGTCGAATTCAGGATAAAAAGGAAAATAAATTCGTGCCGTTTTTCTAACCATTCCGGAAAACCATTAAGGTCTCCAAAACTCACAAAACTAAAAGTTTTTAATCGAAAATGCAATAAAACGTTATTTTTTTATGATTTTCTTCTTTTCTGGCAATAAATAATAATTTTATCGAATTTTTCACCTAAATTAATTAGGATTATCTTGAAAAAACGACCAGAGAGCAAAAGTTTACAAAAAATTATTTGGAAAATTTGCCGCCCTCATCGCGCTGAAGAATTTTAAAGTTCCTTTAAATTTTCAGGTCATTTCAGTTTTAACAAAGTTTCTATTAAGCAATTCTTTCTATGCAAAAATCGCATTATTTTTTAAATTACTGACAATCTTCAAGTATTTTCTGTGAAAATTTATAAGATAAATTTTATTAGAATGCTCGCCTCCTTAACCGCTTTACAAAAATGTTTGGAAAACTTTCTGCAGCTTCGAATTATGGACAAAACCCTAATACTTATTTCTTCTTCTTTTTCCAAAAATATTTACCCGAACTTAAAAAGGGAAAGTTTATAATCATTTATTTGGAAAACTCTTAACTTAACTTTTAGGTCAATATTTCTAAACAACACTGTCTAAACAGAAAAACCGCGTTTTTCCTAACGTTTTACTGTAAAATACTGGCAAACTGATTTTTTTATGCAAAAAAATGAAGAGATCAATTTTAGAAGAAAACTCGTCGACTTTCTTTGGACTCAGTTCTGTTGCTGGGAAAATCTAGATTACTTTTTTTTAGTTGTTTGAACAAAGTAGTAAATCGGTAGTCAGAAAAAAATGTTAAAGACCCTTTTTTAGATGTGAAAATTCCAGTCTCGGGTCTCGTAAAGCTTTAATAAATCCGAACCGAATGAACCGATGAGTTATAACTCGTTAACTCAGAGAGCGGCAACAACTCAATAGCGCAACTCAACACAGTGTCATCCAGGCCTAACTTCTGACGGTTAATTGCATATTTTCAACCGTTTTTGAGACACGAGGTGTTTTAGACAGCTTGATCGTCAGAAAGTTCACTTTTTGCTTCTATCTTAAGTGATATATCACTATAATATTAACTATTATATAACTATAATCTGGTCTTTATCTTAGGTTCCTATTCCTATTACTTTCCTATTACTTTTATGTCGCATATACATCATATTTTGGCTTCCGGCTCTTTAGAGTTTGGAAATATCTAATTAAACCTAATTACTTGAATATAGATATAAAAATGGTATATCGAAAAGTGTATGCGACCAATTAGATATTTCGAGCCGGTTTTGAGATAAATAGTGTATTAGAAGGCTGGTTAAGGGGGCGAAGCCCTGATCCGATGTTTAATGTGTTGATACCGAAATATCCTCCGGGGAAGCGTTCTTACGCTAGATGCGATATTTTCACTAGTGTTTATTTTGGAAGCCTTTTAAGGCACAGTCATGCTCGTAGCTCTATTTGGACAATAAAATGATCACGAATTAATTCAGCAGCCAAATCCACTCAACTGGCAGAATTTCAAGATCCATTTGCCAGATTGCATTTTTTGCCACCAATTGCTCTTCTGTGCCCGGAAATGGGTCGCAATGCGCTTCGGGTTTCTGCAAGCCAAATTGCCTGTTTTCCAGGCCTCATTGTGTGTCAAATGCCCCACATACGCCCGCTATTTATAGACTTATATAATGCTCTATTTAACTTGTGTGCGGTTTCTTTTAATGGAAAATCAATGAAAGCAAACACTTACTCGATGGATCGTGTATCCAATGCTTCTTTTCTGCTGATTTCCCAGCCTTTGACTCGTCCTGAAAGGAAGAAAAATTGTGTTAGCGCTGTTTCCCATTTTAAAAGCCAGTAGAAAAGTTCTGGCTTAATCCTCCAGATCCAGCTTGTTAGGAAGTAAATTGCCAGGCTGATGGGCCGAACTAGTTCGGGCAGGTTTTATTAATGCCGTTCAATTTCCGCCTTCCAGACACAACAGGAAGCAATTCCAATTTGCAATAAAATTCCTGGATGGAGGCAAAAGGCCGTAACATCAGAACCCCTCGAGATTTTCCATTAGAGAAGGGCCTGAAAATTCAATAATTCCAGGATTTTCATTAGATCTATGGATGGTCGAACATTATTTAAAATATTTAACAGTGCCAGAGGAGAAGTAAAAAAAACAGCGGAAGGCAGTAGAAATCGATAAGCGACGCAAGCCCTTATTAAAGTTGCCAGGATCAAACGGCCGCAATAAATCCAGAAAATTGTCTTTGGATGGAGAATGGAGGAAGTGCCATTCGTTGGCTCGGGCTTACGGCTCTCCGGTCTGGAATTATTCCGGGGTTTTTGCTCTTTAACCGATTTATGAACTGGAATGGCTTCAAGGGAGCAACAAACGAGCTATCTGGATTGCCAGAATTGGAGAAAGGCCAGTGTCTCTATGCAAACGAACTTTTCCCGAGCGTCTCTAGTGGAAGGTTTGAAGGATCGAGCTCAAAAGCTCTGGTTCAAAAGCCTTTGTCTTCCTATTCCAAGATTGAGGGTTGGAGCTCGAATTAGGTCGGTTTACTTGTGAGGAAACAGAGATGAGAGAGAAATGAGAAATTAGAAGAGTCTGAATTGGGAGTGGCAAAAGCTTGAAGAGAAAGCATGGAAATCGCTCTCAGGAATCGCTCTCATGGAAGTTATCATCTCTTTTGGAAAAATCGATAAATTTGCTTTAAAATGTGCCTTTGAATCAAACTCTCAAGTTCTATGTTATTGGTTTATCTGTTTTTTTTTTAGTTAATGCAAAGTGAAATATTCAAACATTTTGGTTTCTTATTTATTTTAAACTCGTCACATTTATGCACAGGTTCTTCACCTATTTTCTAAGAAAAAACCAAAGTTGATAATAATCAGGCTTGTTCATCTATTTATTGATGAAAAATATATTTTTTAAAACAGGCTTTGGAGCGACAAAAGCTTGAAATTGACGCATGCGGAAAACCGCAGATGTGGGATCTCGTTTGAATTTTTTTCTAAATTGGCTTGAAAATCTGCTTTTTCATTAAACTGGCCACACAAATAAAACGATTTTTTATCTATTCGTTGATCAAAAACTCAATATTTAGACTATTCTGGCTTCGAAGTGAATTGATCTTAAAGTCCGTTTTTTTATTAAACTGGCCACAACAAAAACGATTCTTCATGTATTTATTCACAAAAAAATTAATGTTTAAAATTAGAAATTAATAAAATAATTTTTAAACTTAATTAAAATTAAGTTTAAAAATTCAAATATTGGGTCTATTTTTAAAAATTTGCCAAATTCGCTTTAAAATCGGATGGCAAATGTCAGACTTTAGTGCGATTGAAGTGGAAGTTTACGAGCAGTCAGTCAACCACCAGTGCATTCTATAAGGTGTAAAAGTTTCAAGTTGCTACTTGCTACTAAATGGGAAGGAAGTTATAAATTTTCAAAGGCAAGCGTGCAGACTGAAAGTGTTAATTTTTTACCAATTTTTCAAACCCTTGGAAAAATCAGACTTTACTGCGATTGAACTGGAAGTTTACGAGCAGGCAACCACAAGTGCCTTCTATAGGGTGTGAAAGTTTTAAGTTGGCACTTGCTCTGAATGGGAAAGTGACTGCAATTCGGCTCTAGTAGATTTTTAGAAAAACTTTCATTCAGTTCACCAAACGTCCATGTATCCTTGTCAACGATTACCATGGGGCCTAAACCTAAAACCGGCATCGGGAAGTTTGGCGCAAAACTCCAAACAGCCGAAACTCCGCAACTCCGGATCGATATGAGGGAACGAAATAGTTTCGTTGCTTTAATATCCTGAAGGGTGAATTGATGGGGGCTGGTTTGCTTCGTTTTAAATGCCCTTCCATTAGCCGACCGATTTCGAGCTCGAATATGGAATAAATTCACAACTTTCCAAACTATGGACAGTTGCTCGGGAATTTCCATTATCAGGTGATCGATATGTAGGTTTCCCTATTGCTGAGCGACTGCATTAATTAGTTGGGCGAACGCCCCAGTAAATTTCGCATCAACAACAGCCTTAATGGGCTTTAGTTATAATCCTGTTAAGGAAACAGAACGCTTTGATTGCTAATTATAAACGCCCCAATCCAACTAACAATACAATATTTTTTAAAGAGTGGAGGAAACAGTTGTAATTGTGTAAAGTAAAATTATCTTATATAAAACACGTTTGCTAAACGGGACGTGATGCTGCAAGCAGCTCGATGGGAATCGATAAAGACTGGCCTTAAAGGGCAGTTTTTTGCGCCTTTGGCTGGCGACTTGTCGGACGATTTATCTTCCATTTGGATATATGTTTTAGTGCATTTTTTACCGGCTTTCATCCCCCGTTTCGAAGATAAGGCGTCCGCCCCGATTCCCCATTTCCGTTCCGAATTGCTTTCATTAGGGCGAGGGGCGCTGGAGATTTAAACGAAATTGTCGAATTAGTGGCGCTTGCAAGAATTAATCACTGTCGAAAAAATAAACCCCCAAAATAATTAATGTGGACCTTTGGAGTGAATCAAAGCGCCATTTCGAACCTAATTGCTTCACTTGCTTCGTTAGAGTTGAAGTCAGTTTTGTCTCAGGAGGGCGGAACTGGCCGAGGTTTCCATACAAAGGAGTTGCACAGTTAAGTGGGCCATTGAGAAGCGGGCCATCGTCATTGACCGCTTTATGAGGGGGTTGAGTCCTTTCATTTCCAGGCGCCTCCAATCTGGATTAACTCCTGAGGGTCTAGCTGGCAAATTTTCCACCAGATCTTTTCGATGCGAAGCAGTGGCAATTGACCAGTGAATTTAACAAAAGGAGGAAATATTTTTCTTTCGGTTAAAGCGCAATTTCCCCGGTAAATTATATTCCCTTAACGAGAACGTCCCTCCGCTTTCGTACTTGCGGAATTATGCAAATTCTCGCTATTGCAAGTTTTATTTATGGCTCAATTCCGGTTAATTTGTGGGGCTTGGCTGTTTTCTCGACTCTGAATGGGTCACGGCACTGAAAAAGAGCCATTGAGGTATCTTGCAAGGAAACGACAGTCGCAGACAGTGCTCTAATTGGTTTGCTGGAATTCACTAGCTTTTGCCACCCTGAACTCAAGCTATTTTCAATATTGACTTTTCTTATCGGTAAATAGCGGAGTTTGAGGAGGAGTAAGGCTTTAAGGCCAATTTAGCCAATTATTTGCGAGATTCAAAATCTGCCTTAGTTTCAAGCCTTTGCAGAGGTCAGCCTATTTTAAACAATAATTTTTTCGTTAACCGATTATCAAATGCTTCATAAATGTGGCGAGTTTGATGGAAAGTAGGAATTTAAGGCCAATTAGGAAAATTTCAAAAAGAAACTAAATTTCTACGGTTTCCATGCTGCACACACATTTATTTTTCTCTTAATAAATAGATGAAGATGAAGAATTACTTTATAAGTGTGGCAAATTTGAGAACAATGCGAATTTTAAGGCCAATTTGGTACCATTTTCAAAAAATACCTAATATTTGCGGTTTTCAATCTGCATTGACTTTAGGCTTGTCCCACTCTGAAGCCAAACTGTTTTAAATCTTGATTTTTTAATGATAAATAGATACTAATTTGGTCTATTAATGTGGCGAATTTGGTAAAATGTAGATTTTACGAGCAAATTTAGGAAATATTTACTGATATTGATGATTTATAATCTGTGTTTTAAATCGTGTATTATTTCAAGCGTTTGTCACTCCGACGCCTCACTCCTTTAAATATTGGCTTTTGGTTTGTGAATAAACAGAAAATTGGTCTATTAAATTAGCTAGTTTAATAAAAAGGCACATTTTAGGTTAATTTAGTGAATTTTGCAAAATATACTCAATATTTGCGTTTTTCATTCTTTATTATCTTCAAGCGTTTGCCACTCCGACGCCTAACTGTTCGCAATATTGTTTTTTTTTTTCATTAATAAATAGAAAAAAAGTGTTTTGTACATGCAGCAAATTTGATAAAAATACAGATTTTAGACCCAATTGAGGAAATATTAAAGCGGAAACCGAATAATTGCGTTTTTTATACTGCATTATCTTCAAGCTTTTCCCACTCTGAAGACAGAATGTTTTAGACCTTGATTTTTCCCATATTAAATGGATGAAAAATTGGTCTAAGAATAAGCCAGGCATGATGAAAAATCTGCAAATTGATAAGCTTAAAGCTCATTGAGAAAATTTTGCAAAATGTACTCAAAATTGCCTTTTTCATTCTGCATTATCTTCAAGCGTGTGCCACCCCGAACGTTTACTGTCTTAAATATTAATTTTTCCAGTACTGAATAAATTGAAAAAATGTATGCTAATTCAACGAGTTTCATAAAAAGGCAGATTTTAGGACCAAATTGGCGACTTTTTAAACATTCTGTATTATTTCAAGCGTTTGCCACTCCAACGCCTCACTGATTTCAATATTGATTTTTTTGATTAGTAAATATACAGAAAATTAGTCTATTAATATAGCTAGTTTAATAAAAATCATGTTTTAGGCCAATTTAGCGAATTTTGAAAAATAGACTAAAAATTTGTGTTTTTCATTCCACATTATCTTCAAGCGTTTGCCATTCCGGCGCCTCACTGTTTGAGATATTGATTTTTATTCATTAATAAATAGAAAAAAATGGTCTATTAATGCAGCAAATTTGATAAAAATACAGATTTTAGAACTAATTGAGGAAATATTAAAACGGAGAGCGAATAATTGCGTTTTTTATTCTGCATTATCGTCAAGCTTTTCCCACTCTGAAGACAGACTATTTTAGACCTTAATTTTTCCAATATTAAATGGATGAAAAATTGGTCTAAAAATAAAGCAGGCTTGATGAAAAATTTGCAATTTGATAAGTTTAAAGCTCATTGAGCGAATGTTGACAACTATGCTCAAAATTTGTGTTTTTCATTCAGCATTATCTTCAAGCGTGTGCCACCCCGAAGCCTGACTGTCCTAATTTTTTATTTTTCATTAGTTAATAAACAGGAAAAATGTAAGCTAATTTAACGAGTTTAATAAAAAGGCAGATTTTAGGGCCCAATTAGCGAATTTTTAAACATAGACTTATATTTGCATGTTTCATTCTATATTATTTCAAGCGTTTGCCACTCCGACGCCTCACTGCTTTAAATATTGATTTGTTCGTTAGTGAATAAATATAAAATTGGTCTATTAATTTAGCTAGTTTAATAAAAAGGCACGTTTTAGGCCAATTTAGCGAATTTTGAAAAATAGCCTCAATATTTGCGTTTTTCATTCTACATTATCTTCAAACGTTTGCCACTCCGACGCCTGACTGTTTGAGATATTGATTTTTTCATTCATAAATAGGAAAAAAATGGTCTATTATTGCAGAAAATTTGATAAAAATACAGATTTTAGAACCAATTGAGAAAATATTAAAACGGAGAGCGATAGTTGCGTTTTTTATTCTGCATTATCTTCAAGCTTTTCCCACTCTGAAGGCAAACTGTTTTAGGCCTTGATTTTTCCAATATTAAGTAGATGAAAAATTGGTCTAATAATGTGGCAGGCATGATGAAAAATCTGCAAATTGATAGCAATCTGCAAGCTTAAAGCTCATTGAGCGAATTTTGTAAAATATACTCAAAATTTGCCTTTTTCATTCTGCATTAACTTCAAGCGTGTACCACTCCGAAGGCTGACTGTCTTAAATATTAATTTTTTCATTAGTTATTTCAGCGGGTTTCATAAAAAGGCAGATTTTAGAACCAAATTAGGGACTTTTTAAACATAGACTTATATTTTCATTTTCTATTCTGCATTATTTTAAGTGTTTGTCACTCCGAAGCCTGTCTGTTTTAATTATTGAATTTCCTATTCACAAATACAAAAACAAATTGTCTATTAATGCGGCTAATTTGATAAAAAGGCAGAGTTAAAGGCTACTTTATGGAATTTTTCATCCGAAAGCAACATTTGCGCTTTTCACTCTACCTGATTTTCAACATTTTTCACTTGTTTCTGCCATTGATTTTTTCACAAATAATTGCAAAATTGGTCTATTAAGACAGCGAATTTGATAAAAAGGCGATTTTAAGGCTGATTTAAATAGTCTTTCAAACGAGACAAACAAATATCTGAGATGTCCGTTCCGCATTAACTTCAAGCTTTTGCCACTTCGAAGCCGGACTATTTGAAATATTTTTTTTTATCGTAAAATAGATAAAAGAACGCTTTACTAATGCAGCAAGCTTGATGGGAATTTGTATTTTCACGCTAGTTTAGCTAATTTTTCAAAAGAGACCGAGTTTTTCATTCCGCATAAGACAGACGGAAATTTAAAAATTTGATTTCTCGTTAATAAATAATTGGAAAATGTGTCTATTATTGCGGCGAGTTTAATAAAAAGGCAGATTTTATGCTATTTTTAAAGAGAGTCCGAATATCTGCGTGTTCATCATTCCACATGATCTTCAAGCTTTTATCAGTCCAAAGTGAGACTGTTTTTGATATTGATTATTTTATCAATAAATAGATGAAAACGCTGAATAGATGAAAAAGCAGGCTTTAGGTCAACTTCGAACATTATTGAGAAAAAGCCCCAATATACACGTTTTTCATTCTTCATCTTCAAGCTTCTGCCGCACCGGAAGTTAGTGGGCACTTATATTCTCTTGCAAATAGAGAGAAAATGCGCTATTAATAAGAGCACTTTTGAGCCTGATGGAGCGCTTTGCGACATTTTTTTCGACTTCACTCGAATTTTAAGACCAATTTTTTGGCATAAACTCAAGGAAAATTTGAAACCGCATTTGATCTAGGCGTGGCACCAAGACAAAAGACCCGAAACGAAAACCCCTACCAAACCGGCACATCCATCCATCAATATGGGCGCAACCCACATAAAGCAATATTACTTTGAAACCGATATTGAACTTTTCAATTCTCTTCTGTACAAAAAGGCCCCCAATCTTCCCTAATGGTAAAATCAATAAAGCGGAGTTAACGCCGACATGGTGCCAGTGGCGAAACCTAAACCATCCCTCAAAGAGCTTTATCGTGCCGATTATGGTGATTGTTCGAATACGAATTCGATTTTTTCCTCGCCCAATTTCCAACGTATCTCCAGCATTATCATACATATTGCTTTCGGGCCCTCGATGCCCTCAAAACCCTTTGCCACGCATTGCAAGAAACTCCCACAGTTTAACTGGTTAAAAGAACTTTTTATGAAAATTGTGCCCAGGTTTTTTAGGGGCCCAATTGTGGCTGTGGGTCCAGGCCAAAGAAAAAATGGAAAATTAGGTGATTTTATGTGGGATTTGAGGAGTTTTTTATTAAATTTTCCGTTCAGCTCAATATTAGTCGCTTTAAATCCAGCGAATCGGGAACGTCCGAAACACAAGTCCACTCGACAGGAAAACAATCAGGAACGCAATTAAGCAGCAATCAAAACATGTCCAGGGGACAATGTTTCCATCGGAAGAAAGTGTCGGTTGCAATGGACAAAAATTGAAATTTTTGGTGCAACGGAGCGCATGAATAATTGCATAACAGTCGCAAGTTCACCTATATGATTTAAGCGAAGCCACAGCAGGTATGCACGCTACTGTCCATCCGAAGGCCCCGCAGGGCAAACGAAGAGATAAAATTCGCTCACCTCTTCATCGAACTCAAAGTCGCCCTCGAATTTCCTTTTGCGCTTTGCCTCGACATGGAAGGCCACCAAACCGACCAGCAGGACAAAAATGAGCACCCTCATCGCGTCCGGGGGTGGCGTTTTGTGCCGCTTTTGCCACGAAAAGACACTGTTTTGGGCGAGCGGTGAAAGACAAACGACTTGAGATCAAACCAGCTTACGCGATACACCGCGACCGGATCCTCGATGGTTCGAATGACCGCGTTCTTCGGCTACGGGGGGGCATGTGAGAGTGCGCGAGTCCGAAACAGAGCCCCTTCACATAGAGCAGGCTCGATCGGCTCCCGAATCGGCCGGGGTGGAGGCAACATACCGATTTTTCCGGACGAATATCGGATGCGTAGTGTCACGGTGGCGGGGGCTGGAACAGCCCCTAGACTTTACACCTTTAAACCGAAAATTTTGCCCCTAAATGGCCCCCCATCTTCCTCTTTGTCTTCTTTCTGGAGGTATCCACTGCAATATTTTCCTCGGCAGTCGTTCTCCCCCATACGACTCACATATCATTAATTGATATTTTCCGATGCAAGCCACTCGTGGTTACGAAACGTCAGCAAAACCAACGAGCTGAAGAACCCGAAAACTCCACGATTTGTGGCTTTAAGCATCAAATTCGTTTTTGGTTGTTAAATAATGGGCTCCAATAAAATGCGCTCAGCGACAGACGCTCCAAGGGTGAGCCAAAGCCGCAAATCGATGCCCGACATCCGTTTAGGCTGGGCCTGGTTTGCGTTAGTTTGGCCAGACTAAACTTTTTCCGAAGTTGAATCATTTATACTTAAAACTGCAGCCTTTTTCTATTTTGCGGTTAAACATTTAGCATGAAGCCTCCAGAGCAAACGACAGTGTTTGAAGCGCCCTATCGATACGGGTCTAAAGTAGTCTTTGAACCCGGGTAGTTCCCATCGTTCCTGAGAATTTCCCAAATTGCCGCTTGAATCTTTTCAGCGGGTGCAAAAGGCACAGTTATTGGGTTGCTCCTAAAAGGGTTCAGATGACTGATCGGATGTTTTTCATAGTTTCTGAGATTTTCCCAAATTTTCGTATGAATCTGCGTGACAAAGCGCAGTATTCTTAAGACGCTCTATCGGAAAGCTCTTTATGATTATTCAGATAGTTCAACGGTTTCCGATATATGAAGGAAAAGGCACAAAAATTCATCAAATGTGGCTGCTATCTGAGACTAGAAATTATGCTGGAACCGTAAGAGGAGCTTTTAAACAATTGATCAACAAATTACACCTGGGGGTGAATAAAAGTACAACACACTAATAGAAATAGGGAATTTAACCAGTTATCACATCCATTATCACATTCAATAGAATGAACCAGTTTAACCACAGTTGCGCTGGAACGGAGACATGAATAAGTCCCGACCCTGCTCCACCATATTGGAGACCGTAAAAAGGAGTCTGCTCAGTATTTCCTCCCGAGTGGGGCCGGTATTGAGAAAGACCATCTGATTGACCTTCAGACAGAGGATCAATGGTGTTTTTTGAAACACTGTTAATTGAGCGCTGATGCCATTTCTATCGAAGTAATTCTCCAAATCCTCCCACTTGGAGAACAGGACCTGGAATACAAAGTTGCTAAAAAGGTTTTTTTTTCACTAACTCTAACAACTACTTTTGTGGTGGGTACCAGCAGCTCAGTATCTGGACAAGGGCTGACTGTAGGCTGTGAGTCGCCAATCCGAAGACCCTCCATTAAACTCAAGTACTTGCCCAATACTGTGGCTGTTTGGGCTTGATCGCACTTTACAAGGTTCAGTTGGGGAACATCATTGCGCGGACTCTTCTCCAAATCAGCTTCCCTAATCCTGGAACAAGCCAATCAAACCAAAGCCAACAGACAATGGAAAACAAGTACAGTTTCAGCATGTTTTTGGCCGAATCCTGTTTGGCGTTCTTCTTCGTCCTTCCGAAACCTTTCGCTTCGAAGTTGAGGAACGAGCACAGCATGCAGAACTGAGTCATCGATTCCATACTTTGCTTATAGATTGGTTGCGAAAATCGATTTCCTGAGCTAAACTCGTTCAGTTTTCCCACGTAATTTAAACAGGCCAAGTCATTGCTCTTGGGTGGCAACAGGGTGGAATTGAATTCATTCTTTTGAAATTGCTAAAACATTTGGATAAATGGTTAACGAATGAGTGAATCGGATTTGGTTTCGTTTACTGAGTAGTAAAGATGGAATGGGGTTTTTGCAAACAACTCCAAATTTTAAGCCTAGTTAATGTAGGTACAGGGTGTCAAAATTTAACCAGGAATTAAAAAAATGCGCTCGACTTCAGTGGGGCACCATACAGAAGTTCCGAGTGATAAATATTGGCTTTGGCCTCAGACTCTTCGCAAGAATTTCGCTGCCCCGGTGGAAAACTTGTGCATGTCCACATGCCTGCGTGCTCCACAATGCCTTTCACTGATTATTTATCATGTCGAGATAGGACCATTCCAAAATAATGAATATACTGAGTGAATAGAAACAGATCAACGGGAATTGCAATGCACAATTTTGTGAAATGTAGGGCTACTTTAAAAACCAGTTTACCTCACAGTCCGTTGAAGTTGGGATATCGAATAGCTCCAAAATTTCACTAGCTGCTTTATGTTTGGCTGCTTGTTTAGTGGAACCGATGGCTGAGGCAGATTTTCCATCCAATGTAACTTCGCAGGAAAATGTGGGATTATGCGATTGCCCCGATACAGACATTTCATAGTTGGGAAAGGGCAAGCCTTTCATTGTGGCAAATTCCTGCAAAACTGACACCGGAAATTTCATCATTTTGGATGGGCTGAATAAGGGACACTTTTTGTACAATCTGACCACTTTGGACCCACTAAATATCACTTAGTTGCAGTTTGATTTATTATTGAGCAAGCACTGACCACAAAATATCCCCCCTTAGAATAGAAACAAAATAGGGCGGGACATTACATGCTATTTCGAACCTCGCTATTGTAGATTTTTTTTTGGCAGAAATTTCCAGCAGTTTGCGGTTAGTTTGCTATTTGGTAGATATGTGGAGACGACACTAAAATTCTCCGCGGACCTAGCATTGCGCGAGCGCGAAATTTAACCGTAGCCCGCCTCAGCTGACTGTCGAAAAATTGGCGCGCATTTTAAACCACTTTGTTACTGATAAGATGTATCACATGTATATGAAACTTGAAACCACCCCCACTAATTGCCCTCCAAAAACGGTTTAACGGTCCAACGCTTCCTGTTCCCTGCTGCTAAGGCAGACGTTTGTCTTTGCTTCCATCGTATAGATGATTTTAAAGTGACCGAATTGAAAATTTCTTCAAATTGTTCGCTACTGTGTTTTTATCACCTAGTTATTGCTTGCTATCAACGATATAAACTGTAATATATATAACAATAGTATAGTTAGCTCATATATAAAAAAGAGTAGATAATAGCCGTATTTTTTAATAAGTTTGTGCAAGTTGCATGGTGTTATCCAGAGTCGTTTAAGTGCTTGGAATTTAATTGCCTGTTAATTTAATTAATTAGTTCTTCAGGTTTGTTTGGTATTCACA